TATATATGGAGTCCTGGTATGGCGCTTTGTATATATATATGTACACTGTGAGTTAATACACACACACACATAAGGGAGCTCTGGTAGCGTAGTAGTTACGAATCAGACTGCTAACTGCAAGGTCAGCAGTTCGAAACTACCAGCTGTTACGCGGGAGAAAGATGAGGCGTTCTGCTCCCGTAAAGATATACAGCCTCGGAAACCCTGTACAGGGTCCTGTGAGTCAGAACTGACTCCATGGCACACAGCCACCACCACCATATACTGAATGAGTGCATTTTGAATAAAAAATAACATAAAAGAGGCACTTAAGCCTCAACACCTTGACATTAAACATTAAATCAGTTTTTGTTCTAAACATACAAATAAGTCAATATATACTGTAGGCATCCCTTGTCTTTTAAAGAAAAAGAGGGCAGTGTAGGAAGGATAGGAATCAAGTTTCAGCAGGAGAGGGAGGCAGAGAAATTGCACCTGGAGAAGGGTCTTGCAGAGGGTAGGCGGGAAGAGGGGAAGAAGGCGGAGACTCCTGCATTCCTGCTCCGCCTTTCCCACCTCCCGTTGGCAGCAGCGGCGGCGGCGCAGGGCGGCCGCGCGGGAGTCGGTACCAGCTGCAGCAGCTCGCGCCGCCCCTCGGCCGCGGCTCACTGGGCGAGTCCGAGCTCGGCAGGCAGCTCGCGGCGCGTCGGCCCCCAGAGACGGGAAAGTTGCAGCCCGAGCGCCGACATGCCGGGTAGCGACACGGCGCTCACGGTGGACCGGACCTACTCGGACCCGGGCCGGCACCATCGCTGCAAAAGCCGGGTGAGAGCTGCGGAGAGAGTGGCGTGGGGGGCGCCGAGCCCCGCGGGGAGCGCGCGCCGGGCCGGGGGTGAGGCTGAGGAGTGTTTTAACGCCTGCGTTAACTCTATAGCCGCCCGCGTTTGCTTGCCCTCCTCCCTCCCTTGCCTCCCGGGTTCCCAGCTCCCGCGCTGTCGGAGCCGGAGGGGTTGGAAAGGGAACGTCGGATCCCGCTCGCGACCCGAGACCTGATGTCTCCCGCCAGGATGGACGACTGAGCGAAGTCCGAATTGCCCCTCCTGCCCTCACTGTTTCCCTGTCCCTGAGCGCCTGTCGTGGTCGCCCGGGTCTCCCCGACGGCGGCGCTGTACCCCAGAACCCTCTCCGCCAGGGAGCGCCCTCCGAGCAACGCTGTGAAGTGTGGGAATCCGGCCACTTGCGGCCCCAAGACCCCAGCTTTCGAGGCCCGGGTGGGACAACCCCCTTTCTGACCGCGCTAGCTGTTGCCGCTCCCTTCCTCCCGTCTCCCCCGCCCCGCAAAGCCCTGGAGTTTCGGACTCAGGGTACACGGCGGGGCGCGGCGAGACGGGCTTCCCAGGCTCCGCGGCAGCTGCTCTCGGCTTTGCCCCAGTGAAAAGTCAGTCTTGGCACTGTCTCTCCAGAGTTTCTAGCCTTGTGAAGCAGGCGCCCTCTTCATTGTTTGCAGTGTAATTTGCTGTTGCTGATTTTGGCTGTGGGCGAAAATAGCTCTTCTGAGCCTGCGGCAGAGAGGAGCCATCTAGTGCTTCTGAATAACGACGGAGGCCGCACGCCGAGCGCTTCATTCGCCCGGGAGAGGGGACCTCAGTCCTTCTCGGAGAATACCTTAGCCCTCCCGGGCTGGTGAATCAGTGAGGCTGGACGGGAGACTGGATACTCTGATCTCCCGTGGGCTGACTGAAGTGCCACTTAAAACAGCACCTCCTTCATCCTGACATCTTCTGTCAGGTTTGCTCCGTAAACCAAGATCTTGGGGTTTGTGTAAAGTCAGCCTCCTTGTATAAAATCCACTAAAGAAGTGAGGGGCTCAAATTCTGGCCTGACACCTGCGAAATTGAGAACCAAACCCGACGAGAAGTGGCTCAGTCCGTTGTATAGAACTGGGTATTCATTAGTTAATTTGGAGAGGTAATCAGATGCTGCAAAGAAACTAGTTTCTGGTATGCTTGCCTGTTTTTATTTTTTGTTGTTGTTAGTATTGAGTTGGTTCTGACTCATAGCGATCCTATATAGGGTTTCCCCGGAGTGGCTGGTGGGTTTGAACAGCCAACCTTGTGGTTAGCAGTCCACTGCTTATCTTACAGTGTTTTCCTTTTGAGCACGTTAATTTAATAGAATAAACAATTTTATAGATTAACTGAATTTGATTGAATACCTGCTGCGCCGCCCTACTCAAAAGCAAGTCTTGAGATTTTTTAAAAAGTGCCTATCAAAGCACTGATAAAACAGTTTGGGGGTTATCAACAGTTAGAAATGTCTAGAAAGATGACTAAGAGCACAGAGTTAACTATTGAATAAAAGGTGATGTTCTTCTACTACAGTGGTAATTGGGGATAGAGGGTAATACTGAAGTTGACACAAGGAATTTCAGGCCTGAAAAAGTGTGGAAGCTGGCATTCTCTTATCCTAACTGTGATGCTCCTGTGTAAATAGTAGGATTAGAAATCCTTGATGGCTCACTGAGAGCTCATTTAAATTATTTGGCAAAACTCTTGAGACTTTCCCAAACTCACTTTTCATAACTTGTAAATAAATGGTGGTGATAAGGTACTGTACATGTACCTCAATTGTTTGGAAAGTGACAAAGCAATCTTGTGACTTTATTACAGATTTAGCCTCTACCCTTGTTCATTTCCACACCTGTCTTTCTTATGTGAAAGTTGTTGTTTTTTTTTCATTTAATTTCTGTTGCATGTCACAGCTACCGCATTACTTATATTAGCATGGCGATACCCCACTTTTGGATAGGCTATATTGAAAAAGGAACCCTGGTGGCACCGTTGCATTAATACTGTACTGTTAACCACAAGATTGGCAGTTTAAACCCTCTTCTTGGGAGAGAGCTGAGGCTTTCTGCTCCTGTAAAGATTTATAGCATTCGAGACCACCCTCCACAGGGTTGCTGTGGGTCAGAATTGACTTAATCACAGTTGGCTTGTTTTTAAATTTTGGTGTGTGTTAAAACTGAGTTAGTTAAGTCGAGTCCGACTCATTGCAAACCTGCATAGGGTTTCTGAGGAGCAGCTGGTGGGTTTGAACTGCCGGCATTGTGGTTCGCAGTCTAGTGCTGATCCTAGAGCTCCACACCGGTTAGACATATATGCTGATGGTTCTAGATTAATTTATTGGGCAAATGAAATTTGTTGTTGTTAAGTGTCTTGGAGTTGGTTCTGACTCATAGCGACCCTGTGTAGTGTTAACGAGGAGCAGGTCAAGTGCATTATCCTGCAGAAGAGCTTTCAGACTGAATAAAGCTAGAATTTTGGTAGACCCTAATCATGAATTCTATAGGAGTGGTAGGGATGTCTTGAGATCCTGGTTAGACTTTTTGGCTGCCTGTTTTAAAATTTTTTAAAAAATCATTGAACCAGTGAGGATTAGGGCAAACAAGTGCAAAATTTTGTAAACTTCTAAGAACTCTTCTTGTGTGGTGCTGTAGGATAAGCACTGGACCACTAACCACAAGGTCCGCAGTTCAAACCCACCCGTCGCTCCTTGGAAACCCTGTCCAAGGTTGCCATGAATCAAACCGACTCAATGGTACTAGAAGCCACAACAACAAGAATTTATCTTATGTAAACTCTAAGAACATAAATGAGGTTACAATCATCAAATCATCAGGTGGACTGATATAATTCTGAATCTGTTTTTAAGGCTGCAGTAAGCACACTGAACCAAAGGAAAAGCAACAACAACAACAAACACCTTGCACAGGAAGTGTAATACATTGAGCTGTATTAGGACTTTATTTCTTGATGTCATTTTCTTTGGGGGAATAAAATATTGGATAAGATATTAAAGAAAAATTTTTTTGGGTGGCATCATTTAGTAAATTAACAACAACCAACAAAGCTTCACTGCCAGGGAGCCCATTCCAGCCCTGCAGAAAATGCCGCCGTGGCTTGGGGCTGTCTAGGAAGAGTTGGTTCACTTTTCAGGGATGTGTCAGAAGCAGCTTAGACTCCGAGATCCCATTCTTGGTTACTGAATGGTCAATTTTGGAGTTCAGAATTGTTGGGCTTGTGTAAGTCATTGAGACTGGAATCCTAAGGAACCAGTGTACTATTTTAACATGGCAGAAGTCTATTTTTATAGCCAGGTGGACTAACCTAGATTCTCTGCTCTCCCTCCCATCTCCCCATGAAAATGAAATGTAACTAATACATTCTAGCACTGTCACTAAACTAACGGGGTGGGGGGGGTGTCATTACATCTTTTAAACTTAATCTTGGAAAATTCAAATCGGCCATGTTAACTTGATGCACACAATATATATCCCCATGTTAACTTGATGCACACAATATATATCCCCATGTTAACTTGATGCACACAATATATATCCCTCCACTTTAAAAGAAAGAGCATATGTACAAAATCTTTTTTTATCCCCCCCGCCCCACACACACATTTGCCCTAGATAGTTAAAAAGTTATCATCTTGTTAAGAATACAGGCAGTCTGGTTTCTTTACAGTTACTGGTTTTTATTAGTTAGTTTTATGTATATCAAATTTCTGTTAGTCGTTTGTAACTTTAAATGCCAACCTGGGCCAATTGGATGCAGAAGTGGGCAGCCGGGACTGGGGTCAGCCAGACCTAGATCGTATCCTGGCTCACGCTTCCCAACTAGCTGGCCACTAGGACAAGGTCCTGACCTTTTTGAACCTCAGGTTCTCATTTATAAAAGAAATGACAATAGCCCAATGGTCCATACTTTAGGGAGTGATTGTGCCTCTTACATAAGAGAATATTTGTCTAAAAGAGGGGGAAAAAAGTGGTTGTGTGTATCATTAGCTATTTTTACCCATATGTAAGGTGATATATATATATATGTATATATATTGATATATATCTTATTTATTTATTTTCTTATTCAGTTGGTACCCAAAGAAGCCTTGGTAACATAGTAGTTAGGCATTCAGGTCCTAAGCAGAAGGTTGGTAGTTTGAACCCTGCAGTCTTTTCATGGGAGAAAGATGTAGCAAGTCTACTTGTATAGAGAGTACATTCTTGGAGAACCTATGGGACAGTTTCTGTCCCATAGGGTTGCTATAAGTAAGAATCAACTGGACATCAATGAATTGGGTTGGTGGCATCACTAACTAGAACTGTTAGTCATGTCATGTGGAGTGCCTACTTTGCCCCCAGCTGTCTAATCTCTCAGTGATTCCATTGGGTCCTTCATTGATTTTTCTCTGCAATTGGTTCATCCTTCTTGTGAAGTGGTTCATGGATGATTGCTTCATTCATCTTCTACCTTAGCTTAGCCACTTATGGCCTCACCAGGAGATAACTGTTGCATAAGCGTCCTAATTGCTCTGATTTCACCAATGTCTAATCTCTCCTGCCTCCAAGGACCAGATGGTTCTGTCTGTAGAACCACTTTATTAGACTACCGTCTAGAAAACAGATCTTTGACTGGGACTGCTTATTAGCAGTGTGACCTTGGACCCTATAATTACTCTAAGCCTTCAGTTTCCTCGTCTACTAAACTGAGGAATCAATACAGTAATGTCTATAAAATGCTTAACACAATGCCCAGCACATAGTAAGAACTCAATAGATGGTAGCCATTATGTATGTCATTACTGTACATAAGGATTCATAAGATGGAAAGTGGAAAAACTGCTAATTTTGTGAAAAATGTAGAGCATTGTTAGCATTTGTGCCTAACTCCATCATGTTCCTGATCACATTGTATATATGGCTGTTATAAACTATTCAGGCTTGCACTTTGAGGGAAACATGCTTCATCTGTTCAACAAAT